CTGCCCAGCCCCAATACCCTAGGCATGAAAACAGGTACAACTTTCCCCAATGTCAACATCTAAACAAGAGTTTTCCTATTAAAGTGTCCCATTCTAGCTAGGTTGACCACAAAATTTATTAACCAAAGTGGTTTTGAGAGTGAAAGGGGACTGGGGCGACAGGCATAAAGCATCACTGGTCTTGGGTAAACAGGGCCACATGGGCACCCGAATTCTACTTCCATCATCTTTACAATATTAGGTCCAAGGCTACGAGAAAAACTCCTAGAGGCATTATCTCAGGATAGATCACCATATCCAGGAAATGCGATTAAAGACCTAGGAAGAAGCATGTGGTAAAATTAATGTGTTTATCAGAGAATGTCCTCTGCTTTTACTATTCTATGCGGCATTGGACTGAATGAGTCCAGCTGTTTCCCTAAGCAGGCACATGCAAATAGCAGCAGACGTCCAAACAAAACTAATAGCCCAATGCAAAATCCAGCCGTAAAGTATGAACATCCTGCAGAAACATTAACAGCATCTTCCTCCCACTGGTCAGCCTGGAAGTCATTTAAGAGGAAGAAGGACAAAATCAAGAAAACAATCTTAGCAACAAAAAGAATTCTTTAAACAAAGCCAAAGTAAATGCAACTGCAGTGACCATGGGCTCCTCCTCCCCTAGGCATGTGAGACAAATTAATGTCAGTAAATATTTTAAAAGAATGCTGAATTCCCTAGGTAAAGTATCACACTGTAAAAGACAGCTAATTTCTCTAATCTGCTGCTATTCTGCATTTTTCTTTACTTTGTAAAACACCAGGATTCTAATTGGCTCATTGAAAATTTCAGCGGCTTATGGTCAAGAAGTATAGAATGATTTTTTGCAGAAGATTCTGTTTTTCTGTCTGTCCCAATTCCCACTTCCCCCCTCTCCCCTTCATGTGATATGGGTCCCCTACTAGAGGGTTGGTCACACGACCTGAGCTAGCCGGAGTACCCCCATGCCCGGAACTCAGGTCCAGGGATGGGAATACAAGATCCACACAAGATCACAGCGTGGTCTTTCTGAGATTGAAACCATCACTGGGCATGTTAGTTTCCTAGGCTGCCATAGCATATTAGCACAAACTGGGTGGTTTAAAACAACAAGAATTTATTCTCTCACAGTTCTGGAGGTCAGAAATTCAAAATCAAGGTGTTGGCAGGGCCATGCTCCCTCTGAAGTCTCTGGGGAAGAATCTTGCCCTGCCTCTTCCTGGTTTCTGGTGGTTGCCGGCAATCCTTGGTGGACCTTGACTCATAGCTGCATGGCTTTAATCTCTGCCTTGGTCATCACATGGCCGGGCACCTTCCCTCTGTGTCTGGGCCTGTGTCATCACCTAGTATTCTCTCCGTGTGCATCTCTGTGTCTCTTCTTTTTTCAAGGAGACCTGTCATATTGGATTAAGGGCTCACTCTACTCCAGTATGACCTCTTCTTAACTTACATCTTAATTATATCTGCAAAGACCCTATTTCCAAATAAGGTCATGTTCATAGGTACCAGGGATAGGACTTCAACATCATATCTTTTGGGGGGACACAGTTCAACCCACAACATTAGATGAGAGAGAGTCTCTCCCACTACGATTGCAAGCTCAAAGCCATGTGAGCATGCCCACCCACCTGAGAAGTAAACAGAACCAAAAGATGGAGAAAGACAGAGAAAGGCAGGGCCCTAATGTTAATGAATCCCTGGAATGCAGCCATACCTGAAGCCAAGTCCACCTCTTGGACTTCCCAGTAACAGGACCACAAAATATCTTTCTTGTTTAAATGTATTTAGGTTGGGTTTCTGTCACTCACAACTAAGAGTTCTAATTAATATATCCACCAATGAACAAGGCTATATAATGTGAAATCAAATAGTTCCCCATAATCTGGGTGGGGAAGAGTGAGTGAGATATGAAAATAATTGGCCATGAGTTGATAACTGTTGAAATTAAGCGATAGGAATATAGGAGTTTATTATTACACGATTATACTATGCTCTCTACTTTTACATATGTTTGAAATTTTCCAAAAGAAAAAGTTAAATCAAATGTTAAAAAAAAACTCCCCCAGGACTCACACTTAAAGTCCAGCACAATTCAGGGCAAACAAAAGAAGAGAAAAGGTAGAATCATACATAAACCAGACAACAGCAGGCCTCCACAGGGAATATTTGCAATACGTGAAAACATTAGCTCGAGTGTTCTTTGCGGCACGCATAGCGCTTTTGACACCAGACCTGAGTCTACCAGGGCTTGACACAATCAGGAGGTCTCAGATAACAGTGATTGGCAGATGACCACCCCAAACTATGCGGAGAAGGTCCAGCAAACGGCTTCAGCTCCAGGGTAAACAATAGACACACAGTGCACCACTGGAGGAATTCACCTTTCCTCCTAGTTAATCACAATAAAGCAGCTATTATCCATGGCTAGCAATAAAGCAAGGGTGTGGCTCAGACAAAAGACAGGGTTACTTCTCTAAATGTGTACTGACAAGACTATTGTTCCAACACAAGAATACATTTCACGGTTTATGAAACACTCATGACTCTGTGCCTTAATTTAAGCTAGAGTCACCACCTCTTCTGGGATCCTGCCTTCTTCTTGGATTAGAGGTTCTTAACCCCAGCTGCCCATTAGAATCACTTAGGATCTTTAAAAAAATCCTGATGCCCAGGCTATACCCCAGACCAACTAAATCACAATCTCTGGGAGTGGGGCCCAGGCATCAGTATTTCTAGAAGGCTTCTTGGTGATTCTATTGAGCAGCTAAGGCTGAGAACCACTGCCTCAAGTAGACCTAGCTCTGTAAGGTGGTCACTCACTTTGGATATGCGCCTCACTTCTCTGGGCATCTCCTGGTATCGGTCACACCAACCCCACTTCCTGATCTGCTCCTGTGGGTAGATCTCAATCAGTCCAGTACCTAGTTTCTTCCTCTTCGTAGTCATTTCCTAGGGCTGCCATGACAAAATGCCACAAACTTGGTGGCTTAAAACAACAGAAATTTATTCTCACAGTTCTGGACGTCCAAAAGCAAGGTGTTGGCAGGCCATGATCTCTCTGAAGGCTCTAGGCAAGGATACTTTCTTGCCTCTTCCAAACTCTGGTGCTTGCTGGCAATCCTTGGTGTTACTCGGCTTGTGGATACATTACTCCAATCTCTGTGACTTCATCGTCACTTGGCATTCTCCCTGTATGTCTGTGTCTTTTCTCCTCTTCTTATAAGACCACCACTCATACTCAATTAATTGCCGACCCTACTCCAATAGGATCTCAAATATTTACATTCGCAACAACCCTATTTCCAAATAATGTCACATTCTGAGGTTCCGGGAAGGAAACTATTCAACCCAGTGTGCTCTTCTTCACCCACACAAAGCCTAGATGTTGTCTTCATCAGAATGCATATAAGACCTAGCTAACTGGGAGCACAATGTCTTTTAAACAAATTTTTATTTTGAAGTCATTTTAGATTTATAGAATAGTTGCAAAGATAGTACAGAGAGCTGTATGCTCCTCACCCAGCTTCCTCTAATGTTAACATCTCATAAAACCATGGTACATTTATGAAAAGTAAGAAATTAACACCAGTACAATACTAGTAACTAAACTCTACACTTTATGTATATTTCACCAGTGCCCGTTTTCTGTCCCAGGATCCACATCAGGATACCACCTTGCATTTAACATAATGCTTTTAAGAACGAAAAGAGTCTGAACCAAGTTCTGATCCACAGCATCAAAAATTCACTTCAGGCTTCTTTCTCTAGCTCAGCCTCCAGCTTCGTAGCCACTCTCACTTTTGCATCCAACTGGTTCTATGTTTCATGTGCTCACCTTTCTTGTTTGGATCTGATAGTTTCAATTTTTTAGTCAAGTTAGTCCTTAACAATTTTGAGGTCATGGGACCACTTTGAGAATCCAATAGAAGCTACAGACTCTCCTCTGAGAAAAACGCACAGACAAAAACAATTTTGCATCCAATTTCAGAGCAGATATCAATCCCCCCTCCTCCTCCCCAAGGGCTTCCGCCTAGGCACAACCTTTCACAGCTTGGCTTTTCCAGGCATAGATTCTGTAATGAAATCAGCATAACTCACTATCAAGCTCTCTCCCAAGACAATGTCTCCAGATCCTGGACATAGCAGCAGTGTTCCACACTCTGGGTTTTTACCAACAACAGCTGCCCCAGCCACTGTCTTGGGCTGAGGCTGGGCAGAGCTCTCCAGCTGGACACTGAGGACAACTGGACTCGCTCTTTCTGGCCAACTTGGCTGTCTGTATTGAACCCCACAAGTTTTGCTTGACCCATCACCACTTTGGAGCCCACTTTCCCTGTGATGGGAAGAAACATCTCAGAATTTAACACTTCTTAGTCCAAAAGCCATGTTATCATCACCTGGGTTTCAACAAAGAAAGGTGACTCCAGGATCCAGAGCAGTACTGACAAGTTCTACCAAAATTGGATCTTCTGTCATTTTGAAATGGCAGGAACTTTGTCCCAAGGTCAACGCCTGCCTACCACACTTCATCTTTGGAAATAGCATGTGAGGCCCCTCACAATGAAAGCCAAACAACTGTCAACCCTACAACCCTACATGTTCTCTTAAGCCACCACACCAGCCCCTATAGCAGGAACCAAAGAAAAGGGAAACCATCCCTGCTCACTCCTCATAACCTTAATTTGAACCTCTTGCTCCAACCCGTTCTTTAAACCCTGTTCTGTCCCACTTGTTCTGCCATCCTCAGAAGCTGCTTGTTTCTATCAGTGCCTCATCCATCTGACTGATGGTCCAGGTGTCACCTGAGCTACATACCTTTGGTAAAGATCCCTGCAGGCTCCCCGGTGCCCTGGGGTCACACATTCTCCCCTATTGCCACTCTAGCCAGGAGCACACCAATTCCTCCAGCATCAACCACAGGGCAACAGGGTTGGAGAAAAGATAAAAATAATTCCTATGGACAGGGCTGGGTCTATTCTTACCTTCTGCAAATGGTTCCCATTCATAAAATCGGCCCATGAATGGCTTGTTGTTGTAGGATGCACATTGTACCTCTCGGATGCTTCTACTGCTTTCTGGGCATACCTAATAAAGCAGAGAGCAAATATGCAATTAGTGTCCATATTTCCCCATAGCCGCAGCCAAATCCCAGGAGACCTCTCCAACTTTAAATGCCAGTCCTTCTCTACAGAAACCAGGGTTTCTGAAAATTTGCTGATCACCTACATCAAAAATTTAAAATGCAGATCCCAAGGCTTCATTCCACAAGCTCTAAGTCAGATCTTTGGAAGGACACTAAGTTTTTAACAAGCTCCCCAGGTTAAGTTTTTGCACACCATAATTTGAAAACCAGTCACCTAAACCTTCTGCTCCTGACAAATTGGTCTGCTCACCTCCCTCAAAGAGGTCATCCACTTCCATCTGTTTGACTTTGTGCGTGCCATTCCTGTGCATGGGATAATATTCACAGCAAACATGTGCAGAGCCCTTACCATGTGTGGGCACTGCTGTAAACATGTTACACATATTAACTCATTTAATCCTCACAACAAGCACTGAGGTAAATATGCTAGATTTGCAGATTTTTCACAGATGAGCAAACTGAGGCATGGAGGAGCCACACTGCCAGCAAGGACAGAGGCTGGATTTAACTCCAAGCAGTCTGGTGCCCACCAGGCTGCACCTCAGCCTCCTCCCCATCTTATGCAAATTCTCTCCGCCATCTAACACAGGCGCTCCCAGCCTTTGCACACAAAAGAATCGCCCAGAGATCTCATGGGAAATGCAAACTCCTGGATCCCTCCCCCAAAGATTATTATTCAGTAAATCTGGGATGGGGTCCCGGAATCCGTATTTTATCAAATTATCCAGGTGCTTCTGATACACTAGACTACTCAACGAAAATATCCAGCTCCTTGTGACTTATTTCCTTCTAATTTTTAATAGTAAATATGAGCAAAGTGTGACATATAAATAAATGTGAAATAAAAGAAGATCAGAATCTGTAATTCAAATTGCAGGTAAAGTATGATCTAGCTTTTTTAAACCTAGCTGCACTCAGTTTAAGTGTGGGGTGTGTGTGTATGAGTGTGTGTTTTAATAATCAGAAGGGAAAGGAATCTGGCCCCTTAAATATTAAAAGCCGTATGTATAGTCTCTGGAATGAATAGCTAGGAAGATAGCTCAAAGTCCTGAAAGATTTATAAAGAAACCTACTGTATGTATCAGAAAGCCCAGGTCTTCTGGAAGATGAGGTAACAGAGGGAGGAAGGAAACGAGGTGGAAGGAAAAATGTCTTGTCTTGATAAAGGGCAGTCGGGGGAGGCTGCTGGTACAAACACCCAGGGTGGTCATAACCCTGCTGCAGCCTGAGCCAAACCATATGGAGCGAGAAGCCATGTGAAACAGAACGTGATAGAAACTGGCGGGAATAAAAGGGCTGGGTGGATGGGCAGGGTGGGCTGAGCTCTGACAATCAGTGAGGAGCTGACAGGCTGGGGAAGGCTGTCTCCAAGGGCTCTGGAAGCCAAGCTGCTGGCAGCCCTAAAGCTGGAACCATGTAGACTTCCAGCAATACCAGCTGTCTCCTTGAAGGATTTGGGGCTAAGATGCTTTTTACAACCCTTTGACCCAAACCAGAGTTCAACTAGAATGTGATCAGTTGGGTGACTTGGGAGAAAGCACCATCCTTGCAACGAGAAAGACTCTCTCAGGAGTTTGTTAAAAATACAGATTCTTGGGGCTGGCCCAGTGACAAAGTGGTTAAGTTCACGTGCTCCACTTTGGCGGACCAGGGTTCGCAGGTTCGAATCCCGGGCACAGACTGACACACTGCTCATCAAACCATGCTGTGGCAGCATCCCAAATACAAAATAGAGGAAGATGGGCACAGATGTTAGCTCAGGGCCAACCTTCCTCAGCAAAAAGAGGAAGATTGACAACAGATGTTAGCTCAGGGCCAGTCTACTTCACCAAGAAAAAAAAAATATGGATTCTTGGGCCTCACCCCAGTGGGAGGGTGGGGAAAAGGACCTAGGAAAATATGCTTGAATTGCTCCCTCAGGTGATTCTGGTGCCGCCTGCCTGGCACCAGACTGTGCAGCAATTAAGAGCCACACCCAAGCCTCAATCTCACTCCAAATTACTTAACATGCAGTGTTGGGGCAGAAAAGAATCAAATCCAACTCCTTTAATTTACAGATGAGGAAACTGAGGCCTGGAGAAGTGGTGTATCTTGCCAAAGGTCCCACAAGGACATAGGAAGAGAGCCCAGAGCGCTGACCACCCACCCTGGCTATAATCAGAAACTACAGATGAGCTGCTGGTTGCAGGTATTCATAATGGAAGCAGACAAGAACAAGGGGGCTAAATGTCCTGTTTCTCGAATAACCACACCCACGTACAGCCAGAAGCCATCCTAATTAGCCTGGTGGCAGTTACCAGAATTGGAAGCTGCAGACCACACAAACTTGGCCAGTCTGCTTAATCCTTTTCTCTCCATCAGCAAAGTATCGCAATAGACCAAACCACGAACCAATGCACCTTCAGAATCATTTTGAACTGCTCAATATTTGATGATATAAATGCACATTTCATGACATGGAAAGCAGTCCACAATCCATCAAACGAAAAAAGTGTTAAAATCATTGTGTGTGTGTGTGTTGTGTGGAGAGAGAGAGAGAGGTTAAAAGTTATCTCTGGAAGGTGGATTATAGAGGTTTTCTCTTTACAATTAACTTTTGGTTTATTCGTATTGTTTAATTTTTCTGCAATACATATATAATATTTATGTAATAAAAATTTATCAGTATTGAGCCCTTCCAAACACATTTGGCCCTCAGCCAGCTTTGCATGTGCTTGTAGTTTACAAACCTACAGTGTGTTTTAATACTCCACTAACACCTGGCGGTCTTATTACATCCATATGCATCTGCCAAGCCAACCAGTCACCTGTGATGAGTCACTCAGGATATCCGGTCCCTGGTCATCAACAAGTTCCTTATATCCGAGCATGGCCCAGTTACCTCCTAAGGCAGGAGGGCTTAACGTAGCATCAGACCCACAGTGGGGAGTCAGGTGCTAAGGCAGCAAATCTACCTACAGTTGCCAGGAGGCAGCCGAGCCCAAGGTTCACTATGGTATCTAGCAAGCACCTAGCATGGGAAGGTGCAGCAGAAGGTAACAAGGTGCCCTGGCAGATGGGCATGGCCCTGTGCGTGACCCTGAGCAGGGACTCACATGATGCCAGGCAAGCTGCCAGTTAGAGGTAGGGCACTACTTCCTGGGGAGGAGAGAGACCTGGCCAGAGAAGTGCAAGGCTCACAGGGCCCACACATGGACGTGGGTTATTGAGGCAGAATTATGGTACAGGCGAGGAAGGTAGAAGCCCGGAGTCATGATGATGATGTTGAGAATAGCTAACTTTTACTGACACTTACTAAATGCCAGATATTCCACCATAAGATTTATGTATATTAGCTCATTTAATCTGCACAATTATTATACCCATTTTCCACATGAAGAAGCCAAGGCAATGAAAAGTCAAATGAGCTGCCCAAGGTCACAGAGCGAGTGGTGAGTCAGGATTTGAACCCAGACACCAGAACCTAGGCCAGCAACCACCATGCCATGTACCCCTCAAGACTGTGTGGACAGCAAAGTCAATTTGCAATGGGTCCTCAGGCAAGAGGGCCTTAACTCCTTCCTGTTTCCTGTTAGGAAAGGTCCTAGAAACCAAGGTCAGATTCAGCCTCTGAGGCCTGGTAAAGTAACCCCAGCTGTAACGAGCAGGGAGCTGTGGATTGAGGATGAAAACCAAGCAGGGCTGGGACATCCTGTTTCATGTCTCTTTTGTAGATTACATCTGTTTGTACTTGTCATACTATTATCAGTATACGATCTCCTCTCATTGTAACAGACTCTCTGAAGTTAAAACTTTCAGGTTTCAGATCATTTTACACTTGTTACATTTCAAGTGGGTTGTTTCCTGATGCCAGAGACTGAGTCACCCTCACCTTATCAGTAATTGTCTCTATAATACACTGTGAATTGGCTTTGGGCAGATTTCCTGCAGACGCTAATCCTTTCCATGGGCACAGATTCTTGCAATCTTCAGGCCAGGAAACTGAGACAGGGAAAAAGCCATGTAGATGGAGATCAGGCTCACTCAGGATGGGGCCAGCAAAGACTGGAGCTTTACAGCCAAGAAATGCCCCTGGAAGACAACCTCCTTCAAATGACTCCCTTCCACCCAAAAGAGGGAGGGATGTTTCCACTGGTCTCTTATGGGAAGAGGAATAAAGATGTACTTTAATAGAATGAGTCGAATCCTTGTAAAGCACTTCAGGCTCTATCCAAAGTCCCATCGAGACAATTGCCTGGGGTTGCTATGAGTCACAAAGAGTATTATGGAAACTCAGGCTGTTTCTAGCGACCCTGGTTAATCCTGAGATGACAACTGCCAGTACCTAACTTCACTGCTCAAGAGGCCACTGTCGGTGATCACACACTTACCTTCTGGTAATTAATTACTTTCAGTTCCCCAGGAGACTGAAGAGCATCATCCCCAATGAAGGTGGCACCAAAGAACACGACCTTGAAGTCTGCCTGGACCAGATATGCACTTTTTTATCCTTTGCATTGCTTTGGAGTCAATCAAAAGACCAGCTGCCATAGCAACATATGATGTATTTAACATTACCACGTGAAGAAATCTGAAAAAAGACATCTAGAAAATGTCCCTGCACTGCCATGAGAAAGCGGCTATGTGACCTGGGCAAAGCACTTTGCTTCTCTAAACCTAAGCGACCCCATTTCAGTAACAAACCCAGCACCACTCCCGCCACCCAAGGATTCTTGTGAGGATTAAATTAGTAATACATTAAGGTTTCTAGCTCGTAGTAATGCTCAATAAATATTAGCTGAGTTAGAATCTAAGTAGACATCAAAAATGAATCCAGCAGTTCCAGAAGTTGTAAGCGCCTGAAAGGTAGGTGTTCTGAGCAAACATTCCCCTCCTTTCTCTTCTGCAGCTGGAAAACGAAGCCTGTTTTCCAGCTGTAGGATAATATAACCATGGACCAAAA